TGGACCCTATCCCAGGCAGCATAGGACACAAGGAAGGTCACGCCCTCCATGGGGGGCCTGTCCATCGCAGGGCACCTAACACAGCAATGTTATTTTATTCATTTTTTTCTTCTTCCAGGGTATTTAGGGACATGGTCTCTCCTAGAGGATGAATTTGCATGTTTTGAATGTTTAAGTCTGGAAAGATGCTGCAGTTGAAGACGGCATGACTGTGCTGCGTGTATCAGTAACACGGGCAGCCGCTTTTAATTATACCAGGAAGCTGAGGGGGCTGAAGCTTGCTTTAACTACAGATTACTGTGTCATTTATTTTTGCACTTGAATAAATTACAACAGATAATAGATTTCACATACTAAGTCTGGGGGAAAATGACTTGGGCTTTTGTAAGAAAAGACAAAAAAAGGCTTTTATGTGTTGCCGGTAACTCATTTATTTTACTGTCGGAAGAGGAAGGCGCTCGGTGGCATTAAGCTGGCGAGCGACTGACATGCCAAGGGTAGCAGTGGTTAAACTGGAATTACGTCTCGCTAATGGGTTTAGGGCCAATGCGTTGAATGAAGGCGGTAAATTTGCAATGAACAATTAACTAAAAAATTGAGCCGCCAGGAGGATTTGGGCTTCCGAATGACACTATCGTTGGCGGTGTAACACAAAGGCTTTCTCCTGGCTCAGTAAACTACAAGGGTAACATATTTTGTTGCTGGCCTTCTGTCTGAGGTTTAAAATGGCTGTTCTCTATTACATGTAAACTGACAATATAGGACCTTTTATCTCATTTTTAGGCTTTTGATTATTTAATAACCGATTTATTTCACTTCATTTTTCATCCTCTTCCTTAGTTCAGTTTCTCCCTGTTTTTTTTTTTTTGTTTTCTTCGTTTTTCACCTCCCACACAGCTCTCTGGGGTCTCTGTCATTTAATCGATACTCGGCATGAATAGTGTCTGTTGTAGAGCGGCTTGAATGGCCATTGCCATGAAGATCCTTCTGGTCATAATTTACAGAGTCATTCTGTACAAAACTGTATTTTCATTTCACATATCGATTTCCAAAGGCAGGCTTCACTGCAGTGATCTGTGGGCCAACTGAAAGTCAGGGGGAAAAAAATAGAAAAATATTTATTTGTGTATCAGGGGGTTGAGATTGAGCTGGCTGCCTACACAACAGCAATCTGGGGTTTCCTTCGTTTATTTCTTAATTTTTTTTTTATGGTAAGCTCTATCCGCCTGTCTGTTTTGCAGGTCATGCAATGTTATTTGTTTTCTTCCCAGAACATACAGCCGGAAAGGTCAAAATTTCGCTAACAGATTGAAAACAGTCGGCACTTGATATATTAACCTTGACAGCTGGAACTTTCTGAGAAAATTTAGGAGTAAAGAGAACAGAGGGGCTGAAAGGCGAGGAAGGAATCTCAGATGTGCTTTGCAATGATTTCTGAAACGATTACCGTAGACGTTTCCTTTGTGGAATTCGAAAGACACAGGCGAGCATGTGACTCTGTTCTTAGGTCTGCTAGCGGATGGGTGACTGGGCTCAGAGAGGGCAGAAACTTTCACATGGCTGTGTGCTGTTGGGTCCATGACCCCCCTACCGCATTCAGCCAAGCAAGGTGTGTTCTTATGACATCTGCATCTTTGGTCTGTTAAACTCAGTCTCATGACTTTCTCATCAAGATGTATCATTCACTTTCCAGGATAAAATGGCTGTTTTTTATTTGAAGATTTTGTGTGGAAATGTTGTTTCCCTGAAAGACAGTTTGGGGACATGTCTCTTAATGATCAATGGAAATCAAGCAGACGTGCCTCGTTTTCAGGAAAAGAAAGAGTAACAGGAATGATTTATCATCGCTGTTTATTAAGTTAGTTTGAAGCATTAAACCCAAGGGGGAAGTTGCTTGCCGTGGTAAAGAAAAAATGAGTTAATATTTAGGTGGAACAGGAGTATTTGAATAATGTGACTAGCTATGAGATTGAAATAGCAATACGCATAATAAATTGAAGTGTTTGATAACCATTTAATCTTGAAAAGATGCTGTTAAATATCAACTGTGAGCAATTTATCTTTTTGTTTTATCCCCTATTGCATTACAACATGCTAAGTATTAGGCAGGACTGCCAGTCTCTCCGCGTTTCCTGTCAAAGTACCAGGCTTAGCAGAGACGATGCCACATTGTGCACCAGAAACAGCGTTTTGGTTTTGGTAAAGTGGATCGCTTAGCTATAGCAGACATTGTGAGTTTGTCCTGATACAGTCTTTGAATCAGTATGTGAAACACTCACTGGTTGGGGCTTCAGACAACTGCATGACAGTGGTCAGCAAATGGGGTCTCTGTGGGGGGGAAACTGCATGCTTTTCAGGGGAAATGGTTTAATTGGGACGGGGCAGGTGGCACACACAGTATTTTTTCGCCGGGACTGAGAGGAAAAGCAAACGGGGGTGAGATTTTTCCTGGATGTGGGTGGTCACGTGTTTTTGGGGTTTCCTCCAGATTGCTTTACTAAGGCCAAAATAACAGAACACACCAATTTATACCTAATACAGGAAAGAGGGAAGGTGTGACAGCCCGTCAGCCCAAGTCACCTGACTCTCCCCCTCCCCTGGACACACCTCCTCATCCAAACACTCTATTTAGGGGTCACCACCCACTAGAGTCATGTGACTCAAATTAGTGGCCATTTGCCTGCTTCCTTCCTGATTCCTAAGCAAAAACATGACAGGAATCATGGTGTGCGCTGGCCATTCTTGATTAAAAGGCGGGGGGGGGGGACCCAAAGTTCGATTAACTCTCCTGACAGATATAAGATGACTCCAGACAGTTATTTTCAAAGCTGGCTTGGTGTTGCTTGCCAGCATTCTACCATAAAGCAGTCCAGGGGTCAGTCATACACTGCGAATATAGGATTGAAAATATTTTCCCTGGTAGAGGTCAGGGAATCCAGCAATGTGGGTAATTTGTATCAAGATGTGAAACAAGAAACAGAGATGAAGTGGCAGTGGTGGTTTTCTGGGAACCAGAGAGCGACGGTGGGTGTCATAATTGCTTTTGGTCCAGAATGGATCTAAAAATGAGGGGTTACATTTTGCCTGTTTGGGGCTCTTCCTTGCCTGCAAAGGGAGAGTCAAAGCTTACTGGGTAACCAAAGTGTGCATGCAGCTGCCCCTCCCCAAATGGGCACTGTGTAGCAGTTTGTGATTGGATAAATCTCCTGGTCTTAATTACTCTATTTATCCATCCGTACTGCAGCTTCCGTGTGTTATTTATGGCTGTACGTGTCACCTTATCAATAGTGTCAGTGTCGGCGAATAATATACTATAGACACGTTAATGTCTTCATATAATTAAATGTGTTTTTCAGGTTGAGTGACTGAAACAAACTTAATCCATCGTTGTAGATATAAACCAAACCATTGCAAAGGGTGTTACTCTGTTTCTGACTGAACTCGTATCATTGTAGTGTTTAACTTTAGTCATTGGTAAACATGCTCCAGATGTGCTGTCATGTTGCTGCAAACTGGCTGTAAATGTATCATCACCCTACTTCCTTTAATGTGTTACTTTATAAAATATCATTAATTATTCTTGGTTAATAAGCCACATATTTAAGTTTTCCTGCAAACATGACACCAAGTGTGTATGTAATTTCCTCCAGTTTAATAACCATGTGCAAATAAGAAATTTTCATTATGTCAGCACACATTTAAAATCTGAAGCCTTTACTGTGACCACATTAGGACATTAATAGTATTATTCACACAATTTGCCAATTGCAAGCCAGATTTAATCGGCCTGTAAGAGCTAAACCACCAGCTGCTCATATTTGCTTAATCATGGTAAGCAAATCCCATGGCCTCTGTTAAATGATAATTGGAGAATTGGAAATCATATAGGCTGTGGTGCGGAGCAGATCGTCCCCTGCTGTTAGTCTATGGTGGCAGTTAAACGTTCACTTAGGGGAATGGGCATCACTGGCAAGGCAACCTGAACAGACGCACACAGAGCTGGCTTGGGTCAGATGCAGTTCTGTTCATTTCACACACTCCATCTAAGAGCTGGGCACCATGTCATCCACTGCACTGCTACATAACTGACCCAGCATCTGTACGGTGGCCTGCAGGGAACAAAAAGGGCACAGTCTTCCATTTTCCGTATGTAGGGCAAGCTATGGGGACGAGCATTGCTAATGATGCACAGAAATATGAGAAAATTATCTGTATCCCACACTGACGACCCCTCTTGTTCACTCACTGTGAAGCATCCCGCATTCCTGGCTTTCTAGGGCTGACAAAAGTAATGATGCTACAGTAGCATATAGTAGATTATCTACTGACTGAGCATGATTTCTCTGCATGCAATTAAAGTTAAAAATCACATTAATTACATCTAGATGCTTGGAAACAATTTGTTCTTCAATATGTTAATATCTTACGTGATCTGAAATGTTTACTGTACTTTAGGTCTTGATGTCCTTGATTTCCCCTCATTGCATGACATCAGAATTTGTGTTAATAGAATGTGATCCCTAAATTCTGTTTCCAGTTTCTACATCCAACTGTTTTGCATTTTTATGTAACTTCAGAGTTAAATGAGTAAATAAAAACACTGGAAAATGGCACAGCGTCAGTAGAATTGGCTCTCATTTTACTGCCAATACAGGGCAAGTGGCCAGTGTTTGCAAACACCACAGGACTCCATGTGCATCTGTGAATTCCCAGTCTCTGAAAACTTTCTAGATTTAATATATTATAGTGGGTTTTAAGCCTCGATATTGGCAGGAAATGAAAACGAGACAGGTGTATAGAAGAGTAAATACAGTTTAGTTTGCCAGCTTTTGAGAAGAGTAAGTTTGGTCCCTTATTGAAAGTTTATTCGCACTGGATATCGCCGTGGGCTGACTTATTATTGAGTGTTGGGTACTATGGGTCAGTCTTGCTATAATCTTCCTGGAAATTGTTCGATAAAAGATGCGCAATGATAAACTGACTGTGCTTTGTCTTTGCAGGCCTTCCCCTGTATATCCACTGGTATTTACGGTAAGCAGTTTTCATTTCCTGTACCTCTTCAGCTTTGACATACATATTTCATATGACATCTTACACAGTAACAGTAGAGATATAAAAATAAAACTGCTTCATTATCAAAAAATAATCCACGCATTCCCTACAGAACATGCAGAACTTGCTGTAGTCCAAAGCTCACTTAACTTCTTGCAAGTTTTGTTACTTTGCATATTATGTTTAGGCTAAAACTAAACATCGTAACTAATATACATGATAGATTTGCCACTTGATCTTTGTTATCCTGGTGTTAGCAGCTATCCTCAGAGGACCCTCTGACCCTTTGCACCATCCATAAGAATGATCTGCATCCAGTTTTCTACTGAAACAACTGAGAGCTGAGAGCTTTGTTACAGCATGGAGATATGTGCAATATATTGCATAGTTTTTGATTATGGATGGATGGATGGATAGGAGTATGTTTTTATGTGTCAATCCCCCTTGCCCCCCCAGTGGATTTTAGTAGTTACGAATAACACAAAGAACTTTGTGTTTACCTTATACAGGAAGCATTATTAATAATAATATTTTTCTTTCCCATAAACCATTTCTTTACTTTTTGCAAAGTGGAATTTATGTGCTAAATTGTCAGTATTTTCCTTATCTATTCAGTGTCAGTTCGGAGGGTTATTTACAGCTGCTTATGAATGAATCACACTTTTTATACCATCCCTGTGATATAGTGACAAAAGAGAAACGACAGGGTCCCCCAGCCGTACCCTGTTTGTAAGACCCAAGAATCTATGAGTCTTTGATTCTGTGACATGGTCGGTCAGTAACAGTATAGCGTTCTGGCGTCTCATGTGACTGGTCCACATGCCAGGGACTTTATTTATTTATTTGCAAGACCCACATGTTACAGGAGCTACAGTAGCATCTTTAGTATGTCATTATTACTGAGTCATGAAATAATTTTTTTTTTTTTTTTTACAAAAATTGCTCTTAGAGTATAATCAACTATCTTACTGACACTAAAGTCACCTTACACGGCTGCCTTTCCATCACTGGTAAGACGTACTGTAACACGCGAAAACACGCCTACTTTTTTATCGAAGATTAAGCAGCTAATGACATCTGATGAATAGAAAATGAGAATGACATAAGTATCTCAGAATAAATAACATTAATTGAAAGTCGCTTTTTCTCCTCAATTTCACAAGGGCTCAGTCATCACTGACAAATTATCGGAGAGTTGGGGGCAGGGCGCGGAAAGGGTAACCTGGGGCTGCCATGGAGAAAAATGAGGCCTCGGTGCCGGCTGACAGTCCAATCCCTCAGACTAGTCCATTAGCGCCGCGGAATTTCTGCACGGTTAGCGTGTTGGCGCTACCACCCATAAACAAACTGCCGTCCACTGTGGGCCACGAGGTCGGACGACATGATAAAGGTTATTAAGTGCCCCGCTTGTAGCCCATCAATCAACGCCACGCGACCCGGGTTCAAGCGGATTATTCCTTCCAAGGAGGAGACACCTTTTGCTGTCTTCCAAGACGAGCTCTGCTTCTCACTCCTCTCGTTCATATGCGTCTCCTGTTCTCACCGCCTAAAATAAGAGAGAAAATTCGATTTGTGATTCTGAAACAAAGAATCTGAGTTCTGTCCCGTTTAATAATTCACATCTCTCAGCTCATGAATCCGTGTTTTCACTTATTTTTTATATATTTTTTTTTGAATAGCGCACTTTGATTTTGCTTTATTGAGAATGTAACAAAAGGTGGATTATTATGCAGGTGAGCAACAGATAAACAAAATGTAGCAATGAAAAAAAGCTCTGTGCTTCACCTCACATAATGACAATGACAACAACAACAAAAAAAAACTCTTAGCACAACCCTTGTGTATTGTGCTTGTTAAATTCACTGTCTGTGACTGCATCACTTTTGTCTGTACAGTGCAGCCTGCGAACCCTGCCTCTCGTCAGGGACGTAATTTACTGGTAGCCAGCAGATTCATTTAATAAACCTTCATTACGCTCAGAGGTCCCTTTCTAATCAGGGCTGTCAGCCGCGGTGGAGATAATGAGCAAGCATATTGTCGCTGTGTCCCTGCCGCATGGCGTGGAGTCTTCTGAGTCCTGAAGTGTTTTCTGCTAACGCGAGGCGTCGTGTGCTGGGGGCCTCGTCAGCAGGTAATGACTGCGGGTCCTGCTCGCAGGTCAGAGGTCGCCCTCCCACTGAGCAGGAGCAGCAAACAACACGCAGCTCTTAAGAAGGCGTTCGGCTCAGAACGGGTGTTGGGAGATGTTCTAGAAATGTTGCTATGTGAAGTAAGGGAGGCATCATCTCTCTGTGCAGCCTCAGCTCTGCATGACAATTGTATTTCCAGTATGATATCATAACACGCTACAAACTCCTGTCTACATATATCTGGATTTACATTTTTTTTTTCCTTCTTTTGCCTACGTCGGTTTAAAATAAACAAGAGTTTGGCTTGAATCACTTGTAAGTTTCTGATGTAATTTTTTTTTCAGACCGTATCTTCAGGATGTACCGCAGACCCCCAGAGTGCTAAATAATGTTCATTATTCACACCAGTGAAAATGGCAGAAAATATTCTTTTAGCTATTGCTTGAGTATATTTTTGTGCTGGATATACATAACAAAAGCTCTTTTGTATCTGTTTTTATATACATGGAATAGGCTATTTAAAACAAGGTCATAGAAAATATATTTTATATATATATATATATATATATATATATAATATCTTTTTTTTCGCTCAAGCGAGCACTGCGTCTAAAGGAGAAAAAATTGAACAGCGAATCTACCCATGTAGGACAGGTGTGTGCCGCCCTTTCTGGAAGGCTGCCAAGGTCATTGTGTGGGCGCCATGGGAACCGATGGACCGCCTGAGGCTGTCTAACGGCCGGAAGAGAGAAACGGAGCGTGGCGTGGCCCGACCTGGCCACCCACCCGCCCGCACGCACGCCGCTCCTCTCAGGCCGGAAAGAAGGCCGGGTTGAATGGAAGCGACCCCGGCAAGAAACTCTCCTTCACACAACCGCTTGCTCCCGAAGAGGCGGCCATACACACACACACACACACACACACAGAGGTTGTCCCCAGCCTGTTGTCTGACTAACCCCTCCCCCGCCCACAACGTGGCCTCCCGGACACTCAGAGCCTCCTCTAGCACACACCCGCCAGCAGTCCTCTGGCATCAGTCTCAGAAAGTTCCAGGGTGGTGGGGGAATGGAAAGCAGGACTGACCATCTGAAACCCCGGCTGTCTCACCCCTGGTTCGAGAGAATACTTCATTTTTCCCAGAATGCATCACTGAGGACGATTGAAGTTTATTACACAATTAATTTCTGGGCTTATGGGTCACATTTTCCTGGTGAGCCATTACAATGATAAAAAATGAGTTTAAAAAATTAATTAAAAATAATAATTAGACATATAAAATCCACCTCTTTTAACTCTTTTTTTTTATTTAATTGCAAACCCTGCTGGCCCAGTTTCCATGTCTGCCAGGCCCTGCAGCCAAAGGCAGTTTTGCCCTTGACTCCCACAAAGTGCTGCCCCCTGGGTGCAGCAGCCGGCGCAGCAGGGAGGGGGTCAGGGTGACGCGGCGTGCTGCGCTCTCTGCTGCGAACCCGTCCCGTGATGGAGTGCCGGGCTGGCAGCAGAAATAACACACCGTCACCTGGGTGCTCATCAGTGGCTCTGCCGTGCCGAAATCCCATCACCGCGCCTCGCTAAGACAAATCTTCCTGGGCCCGCGGTATTCCCAGCATAGGATAAAATGGGAAGGGGCCCGTGAGGCAGCCCGATCGCTGCGTTAGGCCCGGCGGCCAGCTCCAGAACCGTGCCGCTTGACAGATTGGGTTTCGGTGAACCCAGGCTGCATATGGAGTGAAAGTGACAGCGGATTTCTCCACTTTTCTTTGAAGATTCTTTGAAAGTTTGAAGCCTAAACTTTTTTTTTTTTTTTTAATTTCCTCTGTCTGTGTAAAGACATTCCCTCTCATGGGGCTAAGGCAGAACTTGGAAGCTGTTAATAGGAAGAAAAGAAGATATGGAACCATGCAAGTTACAGCTCAGTGTCTCACCACGCCTGGTTTTCAAAGAATAATCCATTTCCACAATATAGGAGACCATAAAACATTAAAATATCCAAAGGGTTTCATTTAATATTTTTCAGTAAATTTTCAAATAACCACTTTTATTGTTTTTTTTTTAAATAATATATATATTAATTGGTATGTTATGATTAGCCTTCCTCTGTAAATTACATGTCAGAATGAATTTTCCTGTTGCAAAGTGAAGGCCTGGCTTTAAGCTTCGCTGCACTTACACCTGTGACATGGCGAAACAACATTCTAGTGATACTGTCTTAAAATAGTGGTCGCTGCAGCCAGCCGGACCCTTTGGGGCCACTTGGCAAGCTGCGTGCCCACGGGTCAGCAAGAGTCACCGAGGAAAGACCAGGCAGAGCTTTGCGCTCCAGTGTCGGCAGCAGTGCAGAGCGTTACATGCTCCTGTCCGGATCCGGTCCAGACCTTTGTAGTCGAGCCTGGCATGATTAATGCCTGTGAAGGTAAATCAATACTGCATTTGTACAAATTGTACACTAAACAGATTAATTGTACGCAGAGCAGTCCGCTCGCTACTTTTGGCCAGAATTGCCCTATCCTTTATGATTAAGGCTAGTTCAACGTAGGAGATTTGCTGCTTTTTACTGCAGCGGAGCTCCCCCTCAAGGCAGATGGAACTGCCCAGCTTTTGCTAACGGAATTATTTGTTACTTATGTATTTATTCTGGCCACTTGCCGTCAGCCAGGTTTTCTGTTGCCTTTGACTTTCTGTCGGTGCCGTGATGCATGACCACGGCTTTCTGTCTGCCGCCTCTGCCCAGTTGTGTCTTTGAATTCCACCATGATAGAAGCCGGAGGTGCAGTCATAGGCACATTTTATCAGTGACAGCGGGCAGATAACAGCCCTCGCTCCCCAGGGATGTCCCACCCCCCTGCTGCTCACGTATAAGCCGCACATTGTGATCGTCGACTGCCTCTACAGAACAGAATGGAGTAGGACTGCAGAATGGGGACCACGGGAGGCTGACAAGCAGAGGGCATGGAAATATATTTTGAATTTTGCTGAATTAATCTTCTGTTCTTCTGTGCCTGAATCTCATTGGACGTACTACACGTGAAAGTATAGATTTATTTTGAGTATGATAGAAAAATTCTTGTGACCCTGATTTTCAAAAATACTTTGATGGAGACAGTGTATTTCCTTAATTCACATTTTAAAAAGATCTTGAAATTTGATTAGAATATTCTAAACTGGACAGGCAAGTATTCCCAGTAAGTGTCGTGCACTGATACTGGGTCATTGACATGCCCTTGGAGGTCTTGGCTTACTGTTGGAGAACACACTCCCCTGATCCAGGCCTCTCCAGAGTTCTGTTCCCTCCCAGAGCCAAGATTTTCCGAATCTGGGCAGCCACTACCTGACGCTTGAGGGTCTGACACACATGGGATATGGAAAGCTGACAGAGGAAGGGAGTACTTTAAGACAAATGCAGAGGTGGGGGAAAAAAAGAATCAAAGGCTATTGGGTGCGGAGGGAATGGGGGAGGGGCGTGAGAGAGTCGCTGTAATATAATCTGAGCCCCCCTTGTGTCAATAAATTGGATTGTGTTGAGAGGTGGTGTCAGGAGATTGGAGAGGCCCTAGGGCCTGACATCAGCACTTTTACGAAGTGCAAAAGCCTAAGTTCTTCCATCTCCCAGCTCCTGAGTACTGACTTGGAGAAAACATCTTGTTGTTAACGCCGAACCGGGTCTTTGCGTGGCCATTCCTCGGAAGCCTTATTGAAAATGCATCCAGCCGATATGGATTTATTCCCAATCGATATGTTGTGTTAACACAGAGGCTGCCCTTCCCGCCTCTGTTCAGCGTGGCTCTAGTGATTAATACAGCATTTAGTGGCACAGCTCCCGCCTCATACCCGCTCAATGCGTCTTTACCTTTTTATTATGCACTACATGGTGGTTTGGTACGGAATACACTGCGCAAATGATAGTATATTCATGTAGCTGGATCTGTAAATCGCAGATCTGTTACCAAAAAAGGATGTGATGCAGAGCTGAGTGTGATGCTGTGATCCATGCATAATATCCAGGGTCGTGGTTTCTCTGCCATTTTCTATAAACTGTTGGACAGTGCTGAGGATATATTTCTTACGATCAAGCGAACTACATTTTAGTTTTGCAAGATTTATTTCTTTATTGGTTGTCGGAACTTATTACTTTTTGAAATTAGTTGCCAAGACCAACTTATTAAGGTTGAAGTTCGAAGTGAACTTTGCCAATGATTGAATGCAGTTATGTCAAATAAAAATTCTGTCAGGAATGCCGCTGAAGGATATTTACAGGTATATTTTAATTGTTAGCTCAGTAAGAGGTCTTGTCCCATAAAAATCTTTGTCAGCACATTTGCATGCACTTCCAGTAAATGACCAGAAACCACATTCTTGTTTCATCAGCATCACATGCTCCAGTTTGCCTCAGTGTCAGTTTCTGATGTTTATGTATTTTGTGTCCAGGATTTCCGAATGAGCCTGCAGCTGAAATTGCCCTCAGCACTGTCAAGACCTGGCTAAAGAAGAACACTGAGGTAGGTGGAAGTGCTTTGCTTGTACGCATGTGTGGGCGAGCAGGAGTGAGAAAGGGGAGAGAAGAGGTGCTGCTTATGAGTCCAACTGGAAGTTTGCAGGATTCTGGAATGTTCTCTGTATGCTAGAGATCACACAACTATAAGAAAGCGTATTGACAACACCTGGGCATGGGAAGTTATGGAGAGGCACACAGTTGCATTAGTCGTAGCGCCATTCCTGTGTACAGCTTTACGCACCAAACCATGAAAGAAATTTTAAGTTTTAGAGCAAGTTCAGCAGAGAGCTCCGGGAATAATGGGGGCTGAGAGTCACCTGTGGACAATCTAGACAAGGTCGACCCCAATGACTGCAGATGGAAACTGGTTACAGTGACCTGTTTAGATCGGAGCAAAGGAAAGATTTCTTTACACAAAGGGTAATAGGGGTTTGGAATAAGCTTCTTAGCAGTATAGCAAAGGTACAGTCATTAGATTATCTCAAGAACTAGTAGAATTCTAGTGACACTCAGATGTCTGATTCAGTAAGTTTGGCTGAAAGGCTCTCCTTCATTTGAATCATTATGATATATATGTGTCAAATAATTATAGTTGAATTACATTAAAAGGTTTTTTCCAGAAGATAAAACAGTAGATTCCCAGACTTTCTAAATGCTGCATGGTTATTTTTCATTTTCCTCAGTGGACAGCTGAGAAACTTTCAGAGTGCAGAAGTTCAGTCTTTTTGCACGTCGGTTATGGGAGGCCATGCAGGCAGTGTCATGGGGCAGGAAGTCAGGCGGCTGTGATTAATCGACCACAGGCGCTTTAAGACATGGGGATGCACTGGGCCCCTAGGCCAGGAATTGAGCTGCGATAAGGTGTGTCTCCTAAAGAGTGGGGTCTCCTGGTGTGGGTGGACACTCTCGCTCAGGCTCTCGCGTTGTGTTTCCTGCTTCTATTTGTCTTCTGGTACAGAACATGAGATTCTGTAACACAGAGTTAGGTCATTGTGGGTCTGGACTCTGTTAGCATTAATCTACATGTGACCAGCCAACATTTTGTAACATTGTTGCTTCTCTTTACTTTGTTAATCTGCTACAGCATGAGCTCCAAAATCATATTCCATCATCCTTTATATTTAATGTTCTGCGGAGAACCCACCATTTGTTTGTCTTGCGTTTGTTACGTTCCGTTTAACGATGCTGAAATGAAGGCTTGAGTTGTGACCACTTACAGCACATTTTTATCAAGGCACTTTCATGTTGTTTTTCACTGAGTGGCACTATTTGTCGAAAGCTAGCAGGCAGTAATATCAAGAGTGATATTAACCTGGAGTGTTGGCTTTTCTGGGTAATGTGAAGGTCGTCATCTGTCAGCCCCCAGAAGCTGACCCAGCTTGTTGGACATTTGATAGATTCACCCTTTCAACCCACTAAACAAACGAAACGCCTCTTCTGATGGCGGAGGCTCGCGGTGCTGTCACAAGGTCAGTCAGACGATGGAGATGAGCGGAATGAACTGAGAGCGATCGAGGTAGAAAGCCAGTGTCAGTGCGGGAAGGGGAGACATCGCAGAGGGGGCCATCACTTTGACCTAAAACCTAATGGTAACCCTGTATTCTGAAAGCCGGAGAGCATGTGTGGCACTTGTGTTAGCCTTCCATTGGCTATGCAGTGTCATAGCAGGGCATGGGCAATACCCTCTCAAAGGTTTAAAATGCCATTAGCTGAATTGCTTGAATCATAATAGATATCTCTGCTTGCTTTTCATTTTCTTTTTGCACCTTTGACTGTGCAAAAGAAGCAGTGCAATGCATGATTTAATTAGACACGCTCTCTTATCTGTTTACCTGATAGGCCAGGATATTATGTAGCAACCTTGGGGACTCTACTGTGACAACCTATTCATGAAGGAGAGATTAGAAAAATAAATAGCTGGCATTTAGAATGTTTGTTTTCGAAACCCCCATCAAATGAAAGTCATTTCTGGACATGATCAAGGCTGAGAAGACAGTTATTCCCAGGGTGCTTGTTAGAGGATGGCGATCTGCTGTTCAGCTCGTTAAAACAAAGTGAATCGGGGTGTTCAAAATTCTTTCGGAGTTTTGGGAATCGCACACATCGCCCCATCTCCATGCTGGCTGTCATCATTCCGAAAAGAAGCTCCACGCAATTAAAGGTGTAACTGAGTGTTTAAAAGTGTTTATATCTGAAAGACCTGACTTGACTGAGGTGGCCTGTGACATGCACTGCTTCATTAATTAGGTACATTGTTACTTTAGCCTTAATTAAAGTGCCATTTATCTGACATGCAGTGTCAGCTTCAGCTTCAGCCCCACCTCTGAAGTGATGGGAGTGTCTGCAGGCAGCTGTGGATTTGTTGTATCAGAAGTAATATTGATCTTCAGGATTCACTATCAGCTGTCTGCTTCGCATTTGTTTTAATAGTTGTTGTAATATAACTTAAACAGAATTAAACGACATTATTCTTGCGAAGGTTTAATGTTGTAACTCCCTGATCTTGCTGGATGCAGATGGTTTCCTTGTCACGGCAGAAAGAGGCTGGGTGGCCACATGAGACTGGGAGGTAATTTACTGTGTGAGAACTGACCGACGGTGTGCTTTAGAAAGGCTGACACAGAGCAGTGTGATGGCTGTCCAGCACTGTAAGCCGCTGAAGCTGAAGGAGGCCCAGGGCTGTGTTTACCAATGAGAGATTGCGTGTGTGTGTGCGTGTGAGCAGGTAAACCTTACCTTATGGGGACACAATGTCCCCACAACGTTATGAATACCCGTCAATTTAATACAAATCTGTGACCGCAATGAAAAAACTAAAAATGAAAAAATATTTTGCTTGGTTACTTATGGTTATGGTTAGGGCTGGGTGGGGGTTAAGGTTGTCATAGTTAGCGTTAGCATTTCCCCCAGAGAAATGAATGAGCAGTCCCCATAAAGCAATGTGTACCCAACATGCATGTATGTGTGTGTGTGTGGGTTTGCACAGATCAGATGTGAGGACCAAATTGTCCCCAAAGTGTACTAAAACCTGAAATTCTTTTGAGGTCCCCATTTGGAAAACCTCAGTTTTATAAAAAATCTGTGAATGCAATCAAAAAAGTAAAAATGCCAAAAATCTTGTATTTGGGTTGGTTACTTATGGTTAAGGTTAGGGATGGGTAGAGGTTAAGGGTATCGTGATTGGGATATAAGCTAGGAATATATATTCACTTAACATGTTTATTGAACATCTTGAACACGAGTCGGATGCATTACATCTGCCACAGAAGTGCAATACCATGGACCCATATCAAAAAGCAAGATTTTTTGCTTAGCCGCACAACTTGTCATATTTAAGGTACCTCAGTTTAAATGATCTTTATCTTTGTTCACTTACAATTAGCCCAAACTACCGTAAATCCGACAAATACTCCGACTAATCATGAAATCTAATTCTAGCCCGGTTAATTGCCATTGTTAGCAATATCAGTTGATAACACATTACACGCGGTGCTTCACGTATAAAACTCCGTGGCAACACGTCCACAGATAAGTTGGACAGTAAGTTCTGAACTCGGGATCCTCTGTGCTGCTCTGAGATATCTCTCGGATCTCCGAGAAACAGGAGCGCGCATGTAGTCTCTTCCGGCTTCAAAACTCGGAATTCGACTCGGAATACGAGTTCCCAGGGCAAATGGAATGGACCAAAACTGCCCAAAATGGGTTGACAGAGACATTTCAGGGATTTTGAGTCGGTCTGTGCTGCAGATGGGTTAATTGCGTGATCATGATGGATGGATTAATCCGCGTTAACCCGTTAATTTTGACAGCTCTAATATATATATATATATATATATATATATATATATATATATATATATATATATATATATATATATATATATATATAAATTAAATAATTTGAAAGAATTGTAAAAGTATATATTTTTTTAAATACTGTGAGACTAGGGACAGTTCTTGCAAAATGTGACCGACACTAAAGCTGGCACGTGGCAGTAGGTAAAGCTTGTGGCCCTTCTGCACTTTCTCCTTTCATACGCGTTACAGCGGCCAGCGGTGATCACAGCCACATCTGTGAGGGATGACTGATGTTCACCGTCCCACGGCTGAGCTGTGTATATAATGTAATGAGGTAGGAAGCTTCTCATGTTGAGGTTTCCACTTAAACAGTGCGCTGAGAAGAAAGGGTCAAGCCCTAAGCCCTGTAGCATGTGTTTGAAAGCAGAATAGTGGCAAATGTCAAGAGAATGAGTCCCCAAAGGAGAGTTAATGTTTGGCTGTCACGAGGGGTGTGGAGGTCATGCCTACCATGTGTGATTTTCATAGGAGTCCACTCACTGCCCAAAGGCCATGGACTTCCTGAACTCCACTGGAGTGTCAGAAGTAATGGTTTATTGCCTGAAAAGGTTAGCATCACTTGCCTCATTTTATTGTGAAGTCCATGTGCTCCTCATGTCTCATGAAAAAGCTCAAAAAGAACTAATTTGATGGGTAAAAGTAATACATCATTATATTTCTAGTGGAACATGCAGTCATAGGTACATCTAGTCCAACAGATTCTGTCTTATTACCCCCTTTCTCAGAAAAAAGTTTTGAGTGAGGCAGGCGCTTCGAAGAATGAATGGATAGATTGGGCAGAATGATACTGAGTTCTTATACGTCACACAAGTTTGTAATAACTCCCTTATCGCTCTGCGTTCTGGGGAGTGTAAAGGCTATTTATGCGACCCATGTAATGCAATTCAGTGTGAATAAATTGCTCCGAGTTCTCCCTCCATGGCAGCCTCGCGGCGCGCTGACAAAGAGCCCCAAAGGCCCGCCGTAGCCGGCGTCCCCAGCAGACAAGTCATTTCATGGGCTCGATAAGCGAGCCGCTGCGGAGGTGATATTGTTCCATTGTGCTATTCAGGTGCGAGCGTGATAAATCATAGCACACAATGGCCTGGCGGAGGATCTGACATAGGGCTGTTTTATTGGGGGGGGCACGCGGTGAAGTGGGGGCGT